AAAATGACTCGGCAAAGCGTCGCGCTTTATGCCTACGTATTCTCATCAGAGAATGAGAAATCAGAGTCAACGTAGTTCGCCTAACTACGGGTTATGGGGGAAAGGTTGCTCGCTAGGATATCGCATCCTATGCCTACGTACTTTCATCTGGTATGAAAGATCAGAGCAAACGTAGTTCGGGAAACCACGGGTTATCTCCTAAAAGAGGTGTTTTTTATTGTTTGCGATTTCGACCGCACTAGAGACTATGACCTGAGAGGGAATGCATCCTTTCTCAGATAGCTTAAGGCTCGTAGCGTACGAAAGAAATCATTCATGATTACTGTATCTTAAACTGCTTCGAGATGAGAAGAGAACAGGCCCAACTAGGAGGGAGACTATCAAGTCCTACTGTTATCATGCCATGGATTCATCCTATGGTTGAGGTTTGAACAGGGAACTCCTAGATGTTGTCATGCATAGGTTTCAACCTAAAAGTCTATCATCAAATCCTCATCCGAGGAAATGAGAGTCCTAAGGGATCATGTCAATGATACACCAAAACAGACAAAAGCATCAACTTTAACAGTAAAATGCATGCAATGCAAGTGAGGGAGGAAATGTGTGTGGGGCTTCAGCCTCCACAAGCTCGTCTCGACCTCAAGCCAGTCATGAAATAACAGCAATCATACTGAAAATAAACAACATACTATCAAGCAAAGAACCAGATAAAGGAAATGAAGTGCCCTCAGGCAAGCAAACACACATGCTTGAGAAAGAAAGAACCTACTCTCCAATCCTAAAACAAAATCTGAATCAAATCTAAGCACTAAAGCAAGACCCTGAACAAGAGAATTCAATCCCAGTCTTCAAGCTTCAGAACAAGCTTACCAAAGAGAGGGAGCTAAGCAAGCAGACTCATAGTGTCTTCCTCAAGAGAACACTAGGAGGTGTATACTCAGGAGTCATACCCTATGTGGCTCAACCACTGTGATCAGTTTATATTCCTCCTCAGGAGAAATTAAACTCACAAGCAAGCTCCAACATCACTGGATATTTAGGAAATCCTATCTGAACTAGTGGAGCTAAGTGAATAGACCCATAGGACCTTCCTCAGGAAAGTACTAGGAAGCTTCCACTTAGGAGTTGTATCCCATGTGGCTCAACAACATGTGATCAGTTTACATTCCTCCTCAGGAGAGATTAAACTCACAAGTTGGCTCCAACATCATTGGATACTTGAGAAATCCTAGATAAACTAAGGGAACTAAGTGGATAGACCCATAGGACCTTCCTCAGGAAAGTACTAGGAGGATTCCACTTAGGAGTTGTATCCCACGTGGCTCAACAACATGTGATCAGTTTACATTCCTCCTCAGGAGAAATTAAACTCACAAGTTGGCTCCAACATCATTGGATACTTAAGAAAGAGGTGAGAAGAAAGAATGAAAGTCATTCATAGTGCCTTCCTCAGGAAAGTACCATGAACTTCCTTCAAACTTCAGGATCTCAAACCTCACAAACAGGGAACAAGCCAAGCTCTGGGTCTCTGAGTCTTGATCTACAATCTTCACTTCATGATGCTCTCCAACAAGGGTCTTCAAGACAACACAAACCCCACAACAAAATCCCCAAAACAAACCCCAGAGATGGACAGATAACCACAGCACAGACAAAATCAATAGGCAACTTCAGAAAATACCTAAAAATGCTAAACCAATGGGGAAAAATCTAACAATTATTCACAAGGGTCTTCAACATCTACCCCTAACATCCACATAGGCCTCTACCCAAAAATCAAGACAAAACTATTTAAAGAAAATGAATTCTTCACCTAAGCACAACCTAAACCCTAATTAGGATACCCTAAATCTACCCTAATTAAACTAATCAAAATTTAATTCTAAAATTCTAGAATAAATCCTATGGGGAACTATGATTCATCATCTAATTGCACAAAAAAGAATGGATTAAAAAGACTAAAGGAAGGTCCTAAAACAATTCTTGCAAAATCATGCATCAACTAAAAGAAAGAAAATATACTATATTAAAGAAAATACCACTAAAAATTCTACATTAAAAATAAAATTCCATTTTTATTTTTATATTTTTCTACACAAAAACATCTAATCATAGAAAAAAGAATGGACAAAAAAGAGTTATTTTCCATTTATTTATGAATTTTCTAAAACAGAAAAATATTAGAAGAAAATAAAAGAAATTAAAACAATTAAAAGGGAGGGGGGTGCGAATAGCCACACGCGCCAGTTCAGATTAGTTGGGCCAGAATAGGGGGGGGTGCGGATAGAAGCCAGCAAGCCCAAGCGCGTTCCTAAACAAAACACCGCGTTTCATTTTTTAAACTTTTCCCTCCATCTTCAGATTGAATTTGAGCCGTTGGATTAACATAAAAAGTCAAATATTCCAAACGAGTTGATGGTGAAGATTGCATCTTCAACCTCTGGCCTGCTAGGGTTTCGAAATAGCCTCCATGCGCCATACCTTCTCCTTCATCTAGCTCACTCAATTCTCCACCATTTTCCTCGATCCAAACAGCAAACTTATTCTACTCCTCTCCCTCTACACAATCACGGTGCTAGAATTCTATAACTCTCCCTCTACAAAGAATTATGAAAGATGGAAGTCTCGGGCACACTTGATCCACACTGATATGCATGGTAATGGAATGAATCCCTACTAACCTAGAATGTTCTACGTGCTGAGGGGATTACACTAAGCTAAAAACCTAAGAATATAACAGCCTAGGGTGCATGTTCTTGATCTCTAAAGTTTCATGGCTCTGTTATGGAACTCCATGGATCGTGCTATAACTTCTAGGGTTTCATCTTCTAACCTAATGCATCAGTTCTATATCTATAAAACTAATTAAAAGTGCATAAATTAAGAGAATTAGGGAGAGGAACCAACCTGTCAAGTAATGATGGTAGGTGCTCGTGGAGAAGGTTGCAAGCCTTGTAATTGCTTCAGGATGATCCTCCAATGGTGGAAATGATTCTGTTTGCACTGGTTTTGGAGAAGAAGCCTTGTAGTGAAAGATTCCTTGGATTGCTTGAACTTGAAGAAAGTGCTTCAATGGCTATTTCTCTCTCTCTCTCTCCTCTGAAATCTCTCTCTATCACCAACCCTGAACTCCTCATGATTCACTCTTTATATAATGATGGATGGAAGAAGCTGGATCCTTCTAGAATCATCTAGAAAAGTGTGGAACTTCTCCTTTAATGGGATTTTGAACAAGCTACATCTCATGCCTTATGCCTTACCATTTTGTGCCAAATTCTCCTTATGAGAGATATTGAGTGTGGATGAGTGAAAAACAAGCTCACCTTTGGCTTGTGTAAGGTTTTTCAACATTGCCTTCTTTTTCAAGTAACAAGTTTTCAAAGCATCACCCATTTTAAAGCTTCAAATCAAAATTCTAGATAAACCAATGTTCTCAAAATGATGTTTCCAATCAAAATGATATATTGGATGACCTATTTTGGATTTGTGGATCTTCCAAACCAATTTTCAAATTCAACTTTTCAAACTTATAAGCCATTTTTAGTTCATTTTTGACCAATCATGTAACCTCATGCTATGAGCTTTTCCAACAATTTGTGACCTTCTTTCTAGACTTAAAATAACATTTTGAACAACTTTCATGTTTTGAGTTTTTCCATTTGAGGCTTGGAAATAGGAGTTTTAGGCATTGGCTAAAATGACCTATAACTGACAAATGACCAAAATACCCCTGCCTTGTTCAAACCATAAGTTGAGTTCCACAAATCCTATCAAGGACTTCTTCCACTCAAATTAAAGCTAAGAAGATGCTCTTCAACATTCATGTTGACCAAGAAGTCATAGGAATCACCCTACTAGGGAAAAAGTTGTCTGCAAGTTGGGTGACTTTCAAGGACCCAGATTCACACACCTCTGCTGACCTGTAATTTGTCAAAACCATAACTTGAGCTCTATAACTCCTATCAAGGACTTCCACCACTCAAATTAAAGCTTAGAACAAGCTCTACAACATTCATGTTATGGGGAAGGTGAGAGATCAACCACATCTTGAGCTAAAACTGCCTGGAAGATAGGGATCAAATTAGGGTTTTTTCACTGACAATCCTTGGGGACCCTGACTTGAAACTTCTCAAACTCCTCACTCATGATGAGTTGGCCTAGGAATCATCTTTATATCATCTCTATGCATCATTCCATGATCTCATGGCCCTTGGATTGGGTCTCAACCTTTCCCAAATCTTCAGTTATCCTAGGGTTGACCCAGTCAAAACCCTAATTCTATCATTCATGGTTGAATCTTCTGAACTCTTGCATAATGGCTTCTCTGGGCTTCATGAAGGCTATTAAGACATCTCATAGGCTTTCCCAAAACATCAAATTCATTCTCAAAGTCTCAGAACCATCTGAGGGGCACCCACAACCCTCAAGCTATGAAGCACACAACCCTGGTTTCAAACCACTCCTCTGAGGATCTCTTGAACTTTCTGATGAAGGTATCCACTTTCAAACACTCAATGAATAAATAATTGTTGGTCAAATTTTGGGGTGCAACAGTATGCACCACAGCTACTGCGACTTGTTTCTTCTTTGGAGCCCTACATTTGACCCAAATTATCAATTAACAACCATGATCAAACTTAAATGACAAAAAATCAAATCATTTTAGCGAGTATAATCAAACTTACAATATCACAGGTTGCCTTGACATTTCTTGAAGGTTTGAATGCTTTGGAGGGTTTGACTTTTGGTGCACTCCCAAAGAAGGTTTTTACACCACTAAACTTCGAAACGCCTTGGTCTACATCAAATTATTGTTTTATAGGGCTAAAGTCAACTTTAAGAGGTGGAATGTAAAATACAGTATCCCCTCCATTGTTAATATCATTGTGAATTTCTTCTAGTACATCTGGATATACTCCATTAAGGTATCATTTTCCATTTGGACTTGGTGGTGGTGCAGCCTGAGCATTTGGAGGTTGTGTAGTCTGAGCATCTTGCACTTATGCTTGACTCAGTGCCTCATTGATCTGATCTGTGACTAGAGGTAGTACAGCTTGAGCATCTTGCATTGGTGCCTGATTTGGTGTCTCATTGATCTGATCTGTGACTAGAGGTGGTGCAGCCTGAGCATCTTGCATTAATACATGACTTGGTGCCTCACTTGGAGCCCCTTTGCCTTTCTTATTCAATAACCCCTTAGGTCTCCTCTGAAAAGAATTATACAAATACTAATAAAATACGAATAATAAGCATATGAGAATGTTAATCAAAAGCACTAGACTAACCTTTTTTGATGTTTCCTTTTGAACATTTCTAGTCTGACTTGCCTGTGTAGGTATTTCATTTATTATAATATTTTGGTTCTTGTGTAGAAAAATATGTTTGTTCTTCTTACTTGTACTAGTGTTGTGACCATAATCCAAACATGTCTTGCAGCTATGAGTAATATTTGTTCTTTTTCGCTTAGTTGCATTTGATTCATCAGGTTCCCTTCTTCTAAGTTTTTTTTGCCTCCCTGGTCCTCTTTTGAACATGGGAGGGTAAATGACAGGATCATTGGTTTTGGGCCACTTATTTTAGCCACAATAGAGTGATACCTTCTTCATAACACTTGATATAAGTAGACTTATGATAACACTTATGGACATAATTAATGGGATCATCAACTTTCCTATGGATTACAAAAACTGAGTCAAACTCTTTTGAACATGGGAGGGTAAATGACAGGATCAAGTTAAAATGAGTCAAACTCTTGACTTTTTTTACTTTGTTCAACTATATGCTGATGAATAATGCAAATGAAGGACTAATGGAAAAAGTCAAACTCTCTAACTTTTCAATTGCATGCTGATGAACTATGAATGGAGAACCAGATAAAAAGGTCAAAGTATTTAACTTTTCCCTTTGATCGCCATGCATGAATGACAATCAAATCAACAGAGAGCAGATAAAATAAGTCAACTCTGACAGCCTCAGTCTGCAAATGTTCCTTAAGGCTTTCATCTTCAATAGCAAGTATCAACTTGCTTCTTCAATCTTTTAAGGCATCAAACACAAGTATCAACTTGTTCTTCATCTTCTTCAAGCTTCAGCTCTTTCTTCTTCACACAAGTATTAACTTGTTCTTCTTGATCTTCAAGCTCCAGCTTCAATGGCAGTCTTCAAACAAAGGGGAAGTGCAACCTCTAGCATCTTCAATCTTCTAGCAAGGAACTCCATCCTCTAGCAAGGGAGAAAGATTCATCTAACAAGAGCAAGGTGGGGATAGGGAGAAGCAAAGTGAAGACCAAGGGTCACCTCTAAGCACTCCACCATCATAGAAAGGAACCCTCAAAGGTTCTACCAACTTGTGAAGAGACACACATCCTACCAAAGGAGGGATGAGGCCTTCTCAAGGGGAACTTACATCATAGGGAGGAATGGAAGTGATCAACACCTTCCATATTTCATGAAGGAAGAAAATCTATTCTAAAGGGATCTCCCTAAAAACCCTAATCCTTAACCCTAAACAAACTACACCAGAGGGAGATCAATCTTCAAGTCCAAGCTCCACCATGCATTCCACAGCAGCCCACACAAGTCTTCATCACCATCCAAGAGCAAGTGAAGCAAAACCCTAGTCTAAGGGAACTAATGAAGTCATTCTAGTTGAGTTAGCAAGTTAGGGTCACCTAAAACCTAGTATTAAAGTTAATTCTAACTAAAATACTAAAATCAATTATAAAATCCTACAAAAATAACTATGGGAACCTATGTCAATCATGACTCTACCATGTAAATTCCAGAGATCAAATCCTCAAATAAGACCTAGAAATAAATTCTACACTACAAGGTACTAAACTTAAACCCTAAAAGGAAGCACCTAAAGTTTCAACCTAAAAACAACACCTAATTTCATCACAAAAATGTGATAAAAATACTATGGGATAATATATGTCTAAGCTAAACACACACACAAAATCAAGCCAAAACTCATCACCAAATGATCACATTAAAATCATCAAACAGAGGTATCAACCATGGTAATTTTATTATCAAATAAAATGTAAAAAATGCACAAAAAAATAAAAATGCATGATTTTCCTAATATTATTATTCAATAAAATTCTAGATTCAATCATGAATCAGGGGGAAAAAACCTGGAATTAATTGACCTATTTTTCTATTTTTAATGAATTATTATCAAACTAATATGAAATGAAGAAATTAAAAGAAAAACAAAAGAAATTAATAAAACTTGCGTGCCAAATAGCAAATAAAATCAGTTCAAAATGTGGGTTGGGCCAGAGTGGGGGTGTGAATATCATTCAGAGTCTTAAGCCCAGGCGCTTCCAATTAAATGAAACGGTGAGCATCAGCCAAAGGGTCCAAGTCTGACTTTTCAAAGCAATCGTGGCCGTGTATTCCATGGACTTGGTCAAGCTTCAGTGATGATCCAACGCTCACAGCTCATCTTCCTCATTCAAATGTTCAGATGGAGGGAATTTACAGACGGTGGCCTGAGCAGTGGCGCCACCGTCTTCTTCGATGAAGACAAATACGCAGGTCACCAAAAATAACAAAATGATACATCATCTTGTCCAGTTTTTCATGCTGATCATGAATCTAACCTTAGAATCATCTAACTCTCTATGGATTTTCAAACCCGATAGCTATTCCAAAATACACCTCAATCTTGAATCTCATCAGAACTTCAATTAAATGCACAGAAATAATCCTCATCTCATGGTGATCATCTTACACTATACAATCTTGATTATCAATCCAAGAACTGCAAGAATTCAGCTTCAACAGAAAATGATCCACATCCTAACTTGTCTCTAATTCACCAATTAATCATCTCAAATCCATCTACACATTGCAAGGATCCTAACCACCTATAGATTTCTATCTATCTCCTTCTAAATTAGGCACAGGGATGAAAAGTACCAACCTGAGTTCAGAGGTGTAACAGATGTAGTTCTTGATCACTTCAACCTCCAAGATGATGCAGATACACTCCAAAACTCCTTCTGAAGCTAATGCAACCTTCAATTTCTCTTGATTTGGCCTGAAACTCAGAATTCGATTTCTACTTGCAGCTCTGAATTTTCAATGGCTCTCTCTGCTACCAGCATCAAACTCTTCCAAAAAAAAATGGCTGAACACACTCAACAACTTATATAGAACTCATTAGAATCATCTAGAACTTTCTCAAAGCTTTAGAATGAGAAATTGGATTTTCAAATTCCCTTCAAAATCTCCTCCATACCAGTCACGATTCCCTCCCTGTTTTGGCCTCAGCAAGCTTGCATTCAACTTCTCATGAGATATTGAACATGAATGGTGGTGTTTCCCTCCTTGTTTCCATCCAATGGCTTATGTATGTTATGTTACTTCATCATGAAGAAACAAAGAAAAAGGGCATGATATTGGACTCAAATAAAAATTATAATATTGCCAAAGTTTCCAAAATGCCTTTTCCATTCAAAATGACCTATAATCTTGCCTCATTTGCACACAAAATGATTTATTTGAATTTTTGGTCATTTAATGCCTTTAATTATTCCTTTTTCACAATTTCTTGAACCAAGTCTCTCCTTGAGCCATTTCAATGCGTTCTTGATACATGGTCAAGGTTAAACCCCCATTTTGAGCAACTTTCAAGTTGAACAAAATTTCATTTGAGATGTCTAAGTTGGTGAAAATGACCTATAACCAAAAATGACCCATAATCACAACTTCCCAAAATACCCTTGACTTGTCAAAGCCATAACTTGAGTTCTACAAATCCTATCAAGGACTTCTAGTACTCTCTAGAAAGCTAAGAGAATAAGGAACAACACTAATGTTGATCAAAAGTTCATAGGAATCATCCTTCTATGGCAAACGTGTCATGCAAGTTGGAAAACTTTCAAGCTCCAAATTCACATGCCTCAGATGACCTGTAACTTGTCTGACTCATAACTTGAGTTCTATAAACCCTATAAAGGACTTCTAGTACTCAAATTAAATCTAAGCTCGTGATCTACAACAATCATGTTGGGGTCAAGATGAGATGACAATCATATCTTGAGCTAAATTGTCTTGAAGATGGGGGTTAAACTAGGGGATTTTACACTGTCAAGTCTTAGAAATCCTAGCTTGAAACTTCTCAAACTCTTCAATCATGATAAGTTAACCTTGAAATCATTCTTAGAACATCTTAATGTATGAATCCATGATCATATGGCTCTTGGATTAGGTATCAACCTTGTTCAAATCATCAGTTGACTTAGAGTTGACCCAGTCAAACCCTAATTGCACCACTCATGTCTGAGCCTACTTAATCTTGCACAATGACCTGCCTAGGCCTCAAAGTGATCTTCAACACTTCTCATGAGCTCTCTCAAGACCTCAAGTCTAACTTCATGGCCTCAGAATCATCTGATGGCTTCCCACAACTCTCAAGTTAGGAGACCTACACACTTGGTTTCAACCACTCTTTCTAAGGCTCTTTCAACTTCTCTAACAAGGATATCAACCCTTGAACACTTTAATAACCTTCTTAGCTAGCTTCAAAGTCTTGTGTAGCCCTTGATTGGTAATCATACCTCTTGATCTCCTGCATACATGTCAATGAAATACAAATGATAATGCTAATGTGAATGAAATGAAACACAAGCTAGGTAAAGAAATGTTGGTCAAATTTTGGGGTGCAACAGCTGCCCCTATTCAAACGGCTTGGACCTGACTGGGTGAGAAGCGAACGACTCTCAAACAATCAAGGTAAAAGACGGTTGAATACCAACAAACCCGAAAATTTTCCAACTGCGCAAGTACACGGTACTCTGATGGGGGCAAATCTTCGGAAACTGAAATAATAGTCGCACGACAACTAGCTGGAGAATACTGATCTGAACCTCCGTCAGGATGATTCTCTGATTTATCTGATATCATTGCATCCTCAAATCATCGAGGAATCACTGGTTACATGGTAACGGGTGATTTGCCGACCACGCGCAGGTAAACGATACTCTGATTGTTAGAAACATCTTTAAAAACTGAGCATGACAGTTGCACGGAAACTCTGCTGGGGAATTGGTCACACGGTAACTAGTGAAGGGTCGAATCTCCGTCAGGATGATCATCTGATTTTGCTGTAGATCTTCGCCCTCAAGTCATCGAGGGATCACTGGTCACTCGGTAACCGGTGATGGATGGTTGATCATACCGTCAGGAATTCTGCGACACTATGGCAGAAGGATTCCTCGGGACTCATCAGGTCGTTAGGAACTTTTTAACAATCAAGTTAATTATGCCATCAGGCATTCAAAGAACTTTCGGGCGTCAGCCGAACTTCATCAGTAGGCCGGGAATGGAGTCCTTGGTCAATCCTGAACCACATAGGGATATCCAAACTTCTGCCATCAGGCACTCCGCATCAGCTGAGAGAACTGCTTCGACATCGCAGTTGGACTTCGTCGGTAAGTCTTAAAATGGGACCTTTAATCAATCATGAACCAATAAGGATACACAATCTTTTGCCGTCAGGCACCCTGCGTCAGCTAGGCAA